AAGATAGATAGCAATTAATCTCTCCAAGTTCCCATCAGCGCTGAGTTGTTTTACATTATTTGTGTGGCTTGCAGGGTACAGTTTTGATTTTTGAAGTTATGCGCACCTCATGTAATGAGAGCCGAAAAAGACCAAAAACATATTGCTATTTTTTACGTTTTACTTGACTCTTTTAGAAAAAAAAATATGAAATAAAATTACGGGAAAATTTAGGAGTCTAAAACGCTGAGGACTGGCTCAGTAGTTTCTATTTGCTATATTGTGCACATCTTAGAAGAATACTATGTAAGTTGCCTGAAATTTAAACTTGGGTAAGTAAATTTTTTATCTGTTGATTCTTTTGTCAAGATTTGTGCTCAAGATTTGTGCTGTTTTTTTCCTTTTGTCAATTTTCAGGGCTTCCGGGGCTGAAGATATTTCTATTGGGCTTGAAACCTGTTACTCATTGCCTATTTTTTTTTTCTGTTTTGTATTAGTTTTTCTTTCGTTTATGTTTTCTTTTCCATTTGGTTTTATTTTTCTATGTTGATATTTTTGGGATGTTGGGTGTGTGTAAACATATACACACAAGTACTATACAATAGGAGTACGTGTGTAAATTATACTAGAGTGTGAAAATTTACTATTATATGCTTATTCTTTGCGCACAATTTCAATGCAAAGTTGTGTGCAAGTTCTTTTTCTCTTGAAAGGTAATACCAGTGCCCCTAATTCATTCATGAAAAATCCAGTATTATATATTATTGCATAATATAGAAAAGCACATTTTTGTGTAAATTGTGTGCAAATATTTTCATTTTTTTGTTTCATTTTCTTTCTTCTTAAAGGGTAATACCGATGTCACTAATTCATTATTTCTTAGAAAACTTTATTATTTTGATTTGTTTAAGTTTTTGTTTCATTTCCTTTTTTCTTGAAAAGTAATACCAATGCCACTAATTCATTCTTTCTTATTTTGTAAAACTTCTATTAGTGTATGCTTATTCTTGCATATTATTAAAAAAAGGTAGTTTCTATGTAAATTTGATCATTACTTGTTTTATTTATTTATCTTTGTTCTTAAAGGGAAATACCAATGCCACAAATTTATTCTTTCTTAGACAGCTTCTTATTTTTATTTTTCCTTAGTTTTATTTCATTTTCTTCTTCTTTAATGGTAATGCCAATACTAATTCATTCCTTCTTAAGAAACTCCTTTTTGGTAAAAAAAATCCAATATAATATACTTATTTTGCATATTCAAAGAAAGCGTAATTTCTTTGTAAATTGCGTGTAAATTTTGTTATTATTCGTTTTATTTTTTCATTTTCTTTCTTCTTAAAGCGTAATACCAATGTCGGTAATTCATTCATTCTTACTTCCTCTGTTTCTAAATATAAGTCATTTTACAGATTTCCCTGGGGACTACATAAGGATGTATATACACATATTTTAGAGTGTAGATTCATTCATTTTGCTCAGCATGTGGTCCATGTTGGAATCTCTAAAAAGACTTAAATTTACGACTGAGGGAGTAGAAAATTTTTGTCATTGTTTATTATTATTATTTTCCTTCTTCTTAAAGGATAATACCAATGCCACTAATTCATTCTTACTTAGAAAACATTATTATTTGATTTTGTTTTACCTTTTATGTAATTTTTCTTCCTGTAGAAAACTACACATATTATAGGCATGCCTACTCCTTTCATCATCCTCATGCAAAGATTAACTGAACTCGAACTTTGTATATATGGGCCGACCTCGTAACGCAATTAAGTTTCATTGGACCGGTCGATCAAAACTCACACCTACACGGTTTATCTATTAACTCCAACACTTTTGTGTAGTTTCCAAGATCTGTTCAACAAAATATACTACTATAGTTAGCTAGCATGTGCACTGGAGTAGTATTTTGCATGGCGACAAATTTTTGATGGAAATTTGATGTTGAAAATGATACATTCTTGAAGGTTTTCCCGGGTTTTTTTTTTTTTTTTGACTTCCCACGTAGGATGTTACAAACCTGTCGACCGGCCAGAAAGAGAAAGCCCTTGGACAGAGTACGCGCGAGGAAAAAAAAAAGGACACGCTTATAAAGGAGACGGTCGCACGCGGGGAGCACCCTGCCATCTAGCTCCTGTGAAGGTGTGAACGTGTTGTGTTGATCCGACGAGGACTTTCCAGCGGGGTTGATCGAACGGTCAGGAAAGAGTTGCGCTGATAAGAAATGTGACTGGCCTAAATTTTAATTTCACTCGGTTAGATCCCTTAAGAGATAAGGAAACCGATCACCTATGGGGTCACAAGGATCCATTCTACGTTCGACGGGGGGTAGTTGCACGAAGAGCAGGTCGAGCGTTAGCACAAAGAGGATTTTTATCCAGGTTCGGGCCGTGAAAATGCGTAATACCCTAGTCCTGCCTTGTTTGGTTATATGTGTGTTCTTGGACTTTCAAACTAGCTATGATGCGAGCTTTTTCCAAAAGTCTGAATCCCCTCTCGTGCAGGCCTCCTTTTATACACAAAGGGGTTGCCACAGTGGCACACACGAGGTGGTAAGCTACAGTGCTACGAGCTTATCGCTCGATCAACGTAGGACAAGCGCATTTAATGCGTTGCCTACGCGTCCTCTCGCTTTATTGGGGACGGCAACAGAGGCCATCTCATCCTTCACCGCTCCTCCTTGCCTCGCCACGCCGGCCAACCAGCTGCCGTGTTGGCGAAATGGTAGGCTTCCATGAAGATCTGCATGCCGACACGCAGGCGCCTGCTTAGCTGGCGTGCCTATCGTCGTACTGGAGTGGTGGTGAAGTGGTGAAACCTTGCCGGGCGCGGGTCTGGCCGCGGCCTAGCGATCATCCCCGGCAAGGCTTGTCGGGGGCCTTAGAGTCGTCCCCGGCAAGGGCCTTGCCGGGGGCCTTGTCTTCTGATCCCACGTGGATTCGTGGGTTTCCAATCTTCGTGAGGGGCTGCATGCTACCAGGCATGTGCTCTCCAAATCTTGGTATTAACGTTATCGATTGTGTCAGAGCTCTCAACCCCAAGGGTGGTGGCCCTGCTGGTCTCTTCGCAGGCTGCCCCGACAAGGAGCTTGTCGGGGGCCTCGCAGGTCGCTTCAGCAAGGCTCGTTGCCGGGTGTGGCCCTGCCAGCCTCCTGCTGCTCGCCACTTTGAGCGTCTGTTTTGATATTCCTTGTTCCTGTTTCACTTCCTGCCGTCCTCCTCTGCTTTGCCGAGCCCTACTGTAGACGTGGCTGCGACCGTCCTTGCACAAGTAAGGGGTACAGAAGTACCCACACTTTTGTACACCGACAATAACATCGGAGATGCCCTTAGAGCATGGAACCTGCTGCATGCGGGAGAACGTAGGATGGGAGCCAGGTTAAAACTAAAAGCTAGCGTAAAAAACGTTGTTATATTATAGGACGGAGGGAGTATAAACCTGCAGGTGATGGTGTAGCTTGTAAAAGAGTTGGCCTCTTCAGGTGTGAAAGCTGATAGAAAGGAGATAAGTAAAAAAAATGCAGAGTTGAAAAAAAAACTGGATTTTTTTTTTTTTGGAAATCTAAGATGCTCAAGGTTTCACGTGCATGTAAAACTCCATGACGAGATGACATGCATGGTGTTCTGGAAAAGAATCCGATGCTCCTTGTACACATTTTTCGAGCCATGATATTTATTTTAATATAGAGTTCTCCGACGCCATATCACCGTGAAATTTTACACACCTAGAACACAGTATCTAATGCTATATCGCCGTGAAATTTTACGCAACTACTCACTTCGTCCTATAATATAAGATGTTTCTGTAAGCTATGTTACCTTGCAAGGACGGAGGGAATAGAACATAGTATCTTTATAGCAGGAGCAGACGAGAGCTCGGGCTTTGAAACGCCGTCCTTCATATATCCACCTTTTAATTCTTACCTAACATCCAACAAATATTCGGGAAGCACAATTGTTGCAAGGGCGGCGCTACGCGTCGGCCTAAAAAGATCCGCCGCCACGACAGTCATTTGATCCGGCGTTATCCAGCGGCACGGATCTTTCCTCACCGGTGCAACAAAGGCATTATGGTGAAATCCTTCTTTGCAACAAACTATATATTGCAGAAATATTTGCAAAGAAGGTTATGTTACAGAATTTTTATTTTTTCGTCTAAACTTTTTTTGCAACATGGGTGTTGTTGCTGAACGACTTCTGCAACACAGATGTTGTGGATTATTTTTTTCTCTTGTCTTAACTTTTTTGTAATATGGGTGCTGTTGCAAAAGGACTTCTGCAACACAAATGATGTTTCCAAAATTTTGTGAAGGTGGCGGAGACCAGTGCGGCTATCTAGAGCGGAAGACTCCTGGTTTCACAACATTTAGCATGTTACAATCAGGTGTTTTGCAACACCTGTTGTGTTGCACTAAGATGTACACTGTGCACCGTCCGATGGACCATGGATCCAACGGCTGCACGAGTGGTGGAACGCTACGCATGACCGGCTGGCTGATTCTAATCATTCTTACTTGACCGGAAGCTTCCAAATATGACTTCTTCGAACCCGAATTCATGCAACATTTCACATACTAGAATTCAATAGCACCACAGTATCCGACAGTCTGTTGTACTCTTCAGTTTTCGGATTCCCAAACAAGTCTTAAATAAATCAGCAAGATGTAGACATCAAACACCAAGTATTACAAAAGGAACGGACCCACCACCCACACACTTGAGAACATCATCATCCCAGGGGCACACGAAATAGATGGCATTCCATTTTTAATTTACAACATCGCGTCTATGGTGTAAATAAGAACAATAAATCCGAGTTAGCCCGCTTCAGACTCGAACACTGCCGCAGAAGGAACAACGGTGATCTTCGTCCTGGCGACAAAACACGCACGGTTGAAGTCAGAGGCCATCGCCAGTTCTTTTCCCGCCTAGAGGCGCGTCGGCCTGGTTAGCATTCCCCGCCAATGGGGATTTCACTGCAGAGTTCCACATTGCAGAGTAACAAAATCGGTCTACCTAGAAGTTCCTTCCTCTGTATTGTTGCTGCATCTCCTGCAAAGCAGATTATAACAAGACACGATTAGAATGGACGATTTGCATCTCCAACTTAAACAGAGCTGGGGTGTGCAACATCTCATTTCAAAAGAGGCATGTATGTTGGCTTACAGGTGGATAATAATAGACAGGGCGGGTCTGCCCCATCATCATTTGCTGCCCATACTGCAGATAAAAAACAAAGGTAGTTAGCACAATAGTACTCAGCAAATACCAAGTAATCCAGACGCATCAGCTTATATGGAAATTCGGCAGGAAATGAACAGCTATATAATAGCATCGAATGTAAACTCGCCGTCCAAACATAAGGCAATTAATAAACACCAGTGTGTGACATCAACGTAAGTTATAGCCATATAGAGCCAAGAGAGCCCGGCCTAGGTCTACTTGTAATTCCTATATCAGATCATTAGAAAAATAAGCATAACAGCATGTCAACAATAAGCCGAAACATGATACCTGGGGCTGTAAAGAAACTAGGAACGCATAGTGAAGTTCATTTCACGTAAGCTGTCTCACCTGTTGCCCAGAAGGATGCATGTAACCCTGGGGAGAAGATCCAGGCGGAGCATTGTAAACAACAGGCTGGCCACCATACGCCTGTGGGAACTGCAATATAATTACCATAGTGAGGTACAGCAATACAGAAATAAATCATTTACAGGCATAGTTAACACAAGAAAAGGTTGCAGCAATCACTGACAAAGCGCTAGAAATTAGCATAGCCTTTTTACAAGGGGACACAAATAGAATGTACAATATTCAAGAACCAACGCATAATAAATAAAATGTAACTCTGATCATTATAGGATTTATGCTAGAGAGAATTCCTAGCATGCAGTAGTACCAATTTATCGTGCTTTATTTTAGTGGAGAATTTGTTGCATGACTTTTTTTCCATACAGAGTGATGTATACGGTTTCGGTGTGTTCCTTGTGGAATTGGTCAGTGAAGGAGAGCTGTGCCTGCTAAAACATTATTGAATGGGTAAATTCTATCGATTTCTGATGATTGGTCAGTTCCTTATTTTCTAGAGAGTTTTATTCTCATCATATAATATCTTTCATCGTATCTGTACGGAATTCTCAGTTTGTGTACTTGGTATCTGCTGATATGCAGGTACATGACTTCCAAGAATCAAGTGATATCTCTAAAGTCTCAGTTTGTGCTTGGAGTCGTGGTGGGTGAACCCGATGAGCGAGCATTGTCCATTGATTAGCTTGGTGGAGGCTGAGATACACTGGATACATGAGAAAGAGATAAGGCTGACAACGATCAAGCCGTAAGGCACCGCAACCTCGACTCTAGGCAGGCAGCTCTTGACAGCATCACAATCTCCATTTTTTCACCATTAGTTTCTTTTAATTGTGAGTCATCTTGTTAGCTCTTAACTCACAAGTGTACAAAAAAGGAGCAGCTATGGGCTTACTTTTGCACACTGTTTTCTTATCTTCATTATTGTCCGTAGGTTTTTAAACTTGTACATGTAAGAATGACATTTTTTGTGTTGGATAATTATGACATCAGAAGGGTGCGTCAAACTGACGATTATATATGTGTTACTTGATCAAGGCTCATTTGGTCCTCGCAAGAAAATAAGGCTCATTTGGTCATTGAACCTTTGACTAAATATAGTAATGTTGCTTTTGTCTTGTACTCCCTCCGTCCGGAAATACTTGTCGTTGAAATAGATGTATCTAGATGTATTTTAGTTCTAGATACATCCAATTTAATGACAAGTATTTCCGGACGGAGGGAGTACAAAATTTTGGTCACATAATGCACTAGGGGCAAAAGCATCTTTTCATATCCTTGTTTAACATCATTAGTGGTCAAAATGAACTAAAGTGTCAAATAAGGAAAGAAATTTAGACCAAGTGTCAAATAAGGAAGAAAAACTTTTCCAGGGCCAATAAGGAATCACATTTTCAAGTAGTGTCAAATAAGGAATTCTCAACTCCCTCCGTCCGAAAAAGCTTGTCCCTCAAATGGATGTATCTAGCACCAAGTTAGTGCTAGATACATCCATTTGAGAAACAAGCTTGGGACAAGCTTTTCCGGACAGAGGGAGTACTATTTAATTGGTTCAACTGAAAGCACACTTGGAAACTTAACCTAGATATTATTTTCTTTAACTAATCAGCCTATGCACGCCTATGTTGGACCTTGGAAAATAGTGAAGGGCCACAGCAATTAAGAAAAGCTTTGGTGCCAGGTTAACTGTTTGGCTGATTAGTTTCTTTGAACTTTCCACTGTCACTCTTCACAATTCTTTTGGGGTAAAAACGAACAAAAATGTTCATAACTGAGACAACTACACAAGACCAATAATCACGTACGCGCAATGCGCACTAATATTAGGTAAGATATTAATTGTTGATATTAGGCAAAATATTAATTGAATGCTCATATTTGGCAGGATATTAGTTGCGCGACAGATTTCATGGAATGTTGTTGAGCCTAAACTTGTTTATAACCAGTGAAAGTGGTGAGTAATCAGAGCATTAAACGTGTTGGTGCTAAACATTGGGGTGATTTAAACCATCACATCAGCATGGTTCCATGGCTGAGATGGTTTTGGTCCTCCGCCCTTCATGCTTTTATAGGTGTATAAGTAGATGCATCCATTTGAATTCAAATATTGCAACCATTTCACATAAATGGTAAGTAACTTAGCAACTGTCAAAAGAAGTAGAAACTCACCCCCATGCCAACTGGTAAACCAGGTCCAGGAGTAGCTCCCATGTTATTAGGATAATAGTATGTTGCATCAGGCGCTGGAGGATGAGGTGGCCTCGGAGAAGTCAAGGGAGTGAAACTCTTAGCATTAGGGTTCAATTTGAATTCCTGGTACGGAAAACCAATTGTCAGTGCACTTGGCACAGGTGACCAACGAAACACCAATGCAAAAAACATGGCCAGATATGATATACATCTCTCCATTACATCCTGACCTTAGCGTTTGGATTCAAACTTGATTTGTCTGAGCTAAGAGATCCCATCGAAGAACTTGGTGATAAGCCTGGAGCAGCACTCGCAGCTGAGTTTGCAGCAACACGCTCGGGTGTTAATGGTGTAGAACTGCCAGGTCTTTGAGAGGAATTCGCATATTCAGGCGCAGAAGGAAGTTTGCTGGGTAGAGTCGAATCTGGTGCCAAACCATCTGATGACTTGTTCCCTTGGCCAGAAGATGAAGGCTCAGATGCACGCGACCTTGAAGGTGTTCCTTCCAAATCTGTCACAAGATTACATAAGTATCATACACTCTGCTGCTGGAAACAATTCATAGAATTTAGAATGTTGCAGCTGAAAGAAATTAGAACTAACAAGGCCACTAGATTTTGCCTTCAAAAGGGACAAGTCAAACAAACAGATGAGTACCATTTCATGGGTGAAAGGGAATCAAGGGTTGTTATTATTAGTATTATTGTCATTGTTGACAAAATAAAACTATCAATCACAAAATAATGATAAGATCAACAAAACTAATAAACAGAGGATCTAAATCTCCTCCCTCCAGAGCAAAAATGTGCAATCCAAGAAGCTTGAAACCTTCAAATGCATGAGCACCAACATTTGCAGCTGCCAGAAGTGTAATCCACCTGGCATGGTCTAGTGAAGAAATGATTCCGTTTAAATAGTAGCATTACTTGTTATATACTCCCTCTGTCCTTTAAAAAGTGTACTTCCAACTTTGTTGGATCTTCCAACTTTGTTGGAAGGACAAACTATCTCAAAGTTTGACCAAGTTTGTGCAAAAATATATCAATGTTTATGAAACCAAATAGGTATATGATGAAAATATATTTTATCCTGAATCTAATGCTACTAATTTGGTGACATAAATGTTGGTGTATTATTGTATAAATACGGTCAAACATAAAAAGGTTCGACTTTCCAACAAAGTTGGAAGTACACTCATTAAAGGACGGAGGGAGTACATGACTGGATCAAATTTAAGTACTGACTAACAGGACAGGACACCATCTATCGCTGGTGAATACAACACAACAGAACAATACATTGTGATATTTTCTTGGCCCATTCAACTACATTTCAAAAGAGCCCAAAGTACCACACCGAACGCACAAAATCAAGAATAACCAGACCTAGCAGCTAATATGAAACTCATGTGACAACAACACATTTTAAGAAGTGCAAAGAACGAATTTATTAAACTTCCAAATTAGGCATAATTTATTGCTCACCTTCAGAAATCAGCGGCCTAACCCCTTCAGGTAACTGTTGAAATGAGCAGGAAAATCCAAATTCAGGCATGAAAAGAATGTCTGGTATTCAGGTACGAGCAGTGCTTTAATAATTATATTGGCAAAAAGGGAAGCTTACAGTATTCTCAGGTTGCAAGATCCTGTTGTCTTTGCCACCGCTACTATCTTTACTTCTCTTGCCATCCAACCTAGGGTTCATAGTAATGTGTCAATCACTATACTACAAATCAATATATTTGACCACTATCCTAGAATGTCCATGCTAAGGGTGTCGACAGTCATGATAATGAACAGCACATTAGCAACAGCAAGCAGGAATGTTGAAGATTTAAAGAAGTGTCAAAAACAATAAAAATGAAACTCAAAGACAAAGGAAGCATCAGAGACAATGATGGTAGACTGCGAACAGTGTACCTGGGGATAAGGGAACGTAAAACAACTCGTTAAAAGATGTAGATTGAAGATTAACAATAGAAGTGTCAAAAACAATAAAACTGGAACTCATAGTCAAAGGAAGCATCAGAGAGGAAGTGATGATAGGGCTATAGGCTGCTAGCAGTGTTTCTGAACCATATCAAGGATGGATAAAAGCACTAACATGGTAGTGCCTGCTTCTTTAGCATCCGCTTGAAATAAGTTTGCAGTATGGCTAGCATCAAATATCCTAAACCATCTTATTCCAAGACAAATCATATGGTTACCCAAACGAGAAGTTGAAGAACCGTTTGCTTGTAAGAAACAGAACTAGGCTCAAACTTAGTTGGACAAAGTCCCAAATAGGTCAAAACACAGAAACGGAAACATAAGTAGTTTCACAGAAACAGTACACAAAAGTTGTGTGTTCAGTCTGACACAGGCTGCCACACAAGGTTGAGTTAAACCAAATTCTGTGTGCCACCAAATCGGTCGCCACGAGTTACACCAAGTTTGGCTAAAATTTAGTATATTACTGCTGGGCTAGGGTGCCTACATGTTTCAAAGAGTGACATACACTAACTGTTAGGGAAAAGGAAAAGTACATCCCTAGTGATCTAACTAAGGAGTGTGGGGCCAGTAGTTGGGCCTATGGGATTGGTTATGATTGCATCCTTCAAACTGTAGACAGTACTACTTAGGGATCAAGAAAGCCCTCCACATATAAGGAGAGGCATGTGACCATGATGAATCAACCAATGCACAAACCAGGTAAACTCCCACCATGAGGATTGCTAACTTGCGACCTATGCAGAAGATTTTGTACCTGTTAGCATCAGCAGGCAAAAGCTTGTTTGACTGGTATTCAGATGCTAGCTCTCCAGTTGCAGCAGTGGCAGATAAATGAGTACCACCAAATATATGGGAAGATGATTTGTCATCCTACAAGTCCAAAATACGAACTGATATTAAACACTTGATGGTATTCAAAAGAAATGGTCATAGATTAGCGCATTAGAATATTTGTTGTTTCATAAATACATCATTTTACAAAAGGTGCTGCTGAATAAATGAAAAGGTCTACTTCTTAAGCAATAAATTCTTGAAACAGTTGGGAAATCCCAGAAAATAAAAACCTCCCACAAATTAAAAATTCAATAAAACCTAGCAGTAACAAAACAGATGTGGCCAACTGGCCATGTTTGAGACAAGGCCAAAGAGTCACCAAATTTATACCACTTAAAACAATGACAAAGGCATACAACCATACTTTTAATTATGACTTAAGTAGAACTCATGAAGACGCTTTAGTTGATTCATTATGGGGGGAAATACTATTCTGTATGCTGTCTTCTTCTAAGAAAATTCCATGCAGATCCTTACACTTAAATTGGTGTAACAGTGTTCAAACCAAATCTCTGGGTCTAATGCATAAGAGCTCCTTAAACTTACAGTCAAATCCTGGGACCTGAGGAATTTAGTTCCCCAAAAGTAGTGTACTTAAGTAAAGGACCAAAGTATGACTACTTAGAGATGGCATGCCAACTTAGTTCAATCTAAATCAAGCTTGATTGTTGGATACACTCATCTAAATTTAAGACCACGGTCGACATTACTCTTTTCCAATTTTTACTAACATATGCATTAGATCAATTATCATGCCAAATGGTGGAAATAAAGCATATGTAACGTCGTTTCATTTCCATACCACTGTTGATGAACACACTGGCAAATCTTTAGTATCCATGCTGCCTGGCCTGCTTGAGACATTCGTAAAGGGTTTAACTGTGGTATCAGTATCCCTCCAAACTGCAGAATATTTGATCTCTTCATCATGCTCCAAATCTTCATCCAAGTATAAACCTCTTTCCTGCATAAGTAACCCCAGCATTTCAGACATTTTGTCTAAATTATTGTGCATGTGTTTGTCTGTTATATTTTTACGCGGTCTGCCAATACTTCCTTTGATGTCCATCCACCAAGCACACCACAAGTGGAAGTAGTGAAAAAATTATGAAACTAACAAGCACCTATACCATAAACATATTTAGCCATAAGTGCAGAGAAGCCTACCTCGGCAAGATGAAGATCTTCTGTATCTTCACCCTCTATTTCTCGGGCTATCCTTGAAGCATGCTTTTCAAGCTCTCTCATATGAGGACCTCGCTCAAGCTTTGTGGTATAAAGATCTTCATTGAAAGTACTCTTTACCCCAAACAAAGCTGCATTTGTCTCGAACTGGTCCCAGCTCCTACAAACATACTGACAATTAATCATCATGATGAAAAAATCGATATAACAAGAAAAACATGTATAACGCCAGCACTGTCATGATATATAATAAAAAAGCGCCATTTCCACAAAGGTATGTTCAAGAAATGTAACCAAAAAAAATCATGCCAACAGATTTAGCAATAAAAATCAATTTCCACAAAGGTATTTTCAAGAAATGTAACCAAAAAAAAAATCATGCCAACAGGTTTAGCAATAAAAATCAATTTCCACAAAGGTATGTTCAAGAAATGTAACCAAAAAAATCGTGTCAACAGGTTTATCAACAAAAAACAATTTCTGCATAAACTTGTTCTTTTGCTTAGTTCATAGTTTCTAACAAGTACTAATGATGTGATCACGATTGACAGTGAAATTTCCATACAGTAAATTTATGCAAGAACTTTGGTAGAGCATTAACCTAAACAAAAAATGCCTACCTATCGACAGGCAAAGCAATATACTGACATAGCACGTGAATATTTTTCATAGCTTGGCAAGGTGTTTTTAAAAAAAGAATATTTGTCTTTACTTCTACAAAACCAAAATATACATCACATCAACATGAAGTGGATGAACAAGGAAGATATACATGCAATGACTACTAGCAAGAGACAATTCCAGGTATCTCAAGTAAATTGATTACCACTTCCATAACCATTTGAATCACAATGAGAAGATTGAATGTTACAAACAAACATCAAGATAAGTCTTCACTTAGTTTTCCATTACCTATGCCCCTTTCTGTCAAATTTTTCCAATTCGATGCAGTCTGAATCCCCTCCATCTGGTGCCCAGCGTTCAAGCTCCCTCTCTTCAGGGAAATGAGAACGAGAGATGGCAGAATCTATCATCAAGTCTTTCCTTTTGTCATGGACAGGACCTTTTGGCAGTTCATCACCGCCTAGTGTTACGTCCTAATAATTTATCAAGAGATAGTCATTACACAAGAATGCAAAAGATAGGGCAACAATTCATGGAAGATGCAAGTCAAGTCCAAAGTAACATCCATGGTGCATATAAATAAACAATGAAGTCAGCTAAGAATTATAACCACAGTCAAGTGAATTGTTGTTTGTTTGTTTGCTAGGAGAGCAAACCTTGGCAAAAACTTGAACAAGCTCCCGTGCTGGTATTATCATAGTCTCCAGCTTTCTTACAACATCAGTGGGATTAGTTTGTCCTCCCACAGAAGTATCCTTTATCGGCTGTGCCATTTTTAAGATAATTCCTGCAACAGGGTTTGATTCTAAGTACATAGAGAATGCAAGGAAAATAAAATCTAGGGGAAACGTCACCAAGTAAGACGTAAATAAGTGCTAAAAAGGTTTAAACAAAGCATAGAGATAGATCAGGGGGAAAAGAGAGTGAGGAGGTACCGAAGTCTTTATCGGTGTTTGTTGCGTGGAAGATTCCAGAGATAACAGATCCATTTTTGACATGCACGTCCACATGATGCCCAATAATTTGTGTCATAACATAGACTAGTCGATCCCGTGAAGGGTTTGCATGACCTAGTTTGCCTCCATTCTCTAAAGCCAAATAGAACCTTATCAACGGTAGTTCTTTCACAGTATTACCGTACAAAAAAATGATGAGATATTCACCTGCACTGGTAAAACCACCAGATGAAGATCTCATCAGGTGTGATTTACTATCATGCCTTCCACTACCCTCCCTATCAAGCTTCCGGTGGGGGGCTCCATTAGCTGAAGTCCTAAGAGGTTCATGCTGCTGTTGGCGACTCATCATGCCTGTATGCACAACATAAGAAGCTCAGCATTACTGCTGCATATAAGCATGATAAGAAACTTGGAACTAAATGCGTAGGCAAATATAAAACACAAAGGTGCATAGATCCCAAACACAAATTGTGTTATTATTTACTCCCTCCGTCCCATAAGGGAGTACTTATTAAAGATTGACTAGACACCAGCCACGGCCATCATACCTTAACATGCATAAGCTACCAGAATGAGTACCTAGCATTGCATTTACGTCTGGAGATCATTATGCTTAGTATAATAAGCTTCTGCTATCAAAAGCATCCGAAACAGAGGTTCGCATCTCAACAACCTAATCTAGATACTAGAAGCAGATATATATAAGTGACACAGAGGGTGCTAACGAAAAGGGAAACTGCGATCGACTCATTTGGCAAGGCAAGACTGACCTTACCAAGAGATCTTCACATAAAGCGAAACAATACAATGGTGGCACCATGAGACGATGAACAATGTGCAACACGGCTGCAAACAATAATCGTAAATACTCAGTTCCAATCCTAGATGAACTAGCGTTGGCTTCTACTGCTGCTCCACAAAATTATGCGGCGACGATGAACACTTAATGACGCGGTAAGCTAACCAAGTAGACAAGTAGACGAGCGTGGGCCACTGGGCTCTACAGTGACTCCTTCCACCGTGCTACTTCAGCACTAGCCGGAGCTGCACGGCAACGCAAGCGCACAAGGGCACAAGGCTAGCTACGTCGTCACACGGGGAAGAACGCAAAGCATCCCGTACGCAGCAAAACCAGCTGGCGGAAGCCGGGGCGGACGAAATCCGGCCGGAGCGACGGCCCCCTCCGCCGATCCCGGCGGATCGCTCCCCCGGATCCCGCAGATCTAGGCCGTGGGCCTGCGAGCGGGACCGAGCAAGCGCGGGCGCAGGCAGGCAAGCGAGCGCCGCGCGTCCGCCCGTCCGTCCTTCCCGATCCGGGCGCACAAGCGCACGGGCACAGCAGAGAGGGGAGGGAGGGAGGCGGCGAACCCTCGCGGGGGGAGCATACCTGCGGTGGCGGGGCGCTGGGGCGCCGGGGACCTCGACGCCGGGGGAGCTGGGGAGGGGGGCGATCTGCCGCGGGGCGAGGAGGCGGGCGGGCGGATCCGCGGCGGCCGGAACCCTAGCTGCGGGCGGCGGCGGCGGCGAGAGGAGGCGTGGGGCGAGCGAGCAGAGAGAGACCGAATGGATCGATGGTCTCCGCGGGTGCGGAGCCGCGGGGGTTTTGGCTGGCGCGGCGTGAGCCGAGCCGACCCGGGACGGAGCCGAGCTGACCTACCCCTGGGCCTACCGCCGCTGGAATCTTCGGCGAACAGTCGGCGACGGTCGTCGGGCCGCTACCGCGCCGTCACCGTTAGCTCCGTGCGACGTGCCGGCACGCCTGGTGTCCGCTATCTATCTGTTTTCCTGAAGTTGTTTCGCGGGAGGCTTATCCAGCGGACGACCGTCGGCAAGCGAACTCGGCCCTGCGCAATTTCGATTTCCTTTTTCCTCGTGCGACGTGCCGTTACCGTCAGCCTTGCGCGAAGTGCGAGCGGCCCAGCGCATTTTTTTTAACGTCAGTACATCGCTCACGCGCGCATACATTCACATCTATGAACGCACACACGCACATCCTATTCTTATTAGCATAATGCCTGTGCGTTGCTACGGGCTACAATTCATATACATGAATCAAAAAAGTAATTAATTAAGGTCATCTCGAAGGTTAAAACTAATTTTTTCTCATACGTCCAAGGGTGTACGGTCATCAAACTTGCGCCTAGCACGCTCCCCAAAATCCAACCGTCCGCCCCCCCCCACCCAAATTCAACCTATACGTGTGAAAAATGTGGTTGTTTGGACCAGGCCCGGGCCCATAGTGGTGCCACATGTGCAGCTCGCACAGGGCCCACGATTTTGAGGGGCCCCAAAATATATATATAGGCATATAGTTGTATTAAAAAAACTGACTGGACGTCGTGGCTCGTGGGCGCCTCAATCGATCTGGCCACCGCGCGCCGTGGGCGCCTCGAGCGAGCTGGGCGCCTGGGCCAGTGGGCCTCTAGGCAAGTTGCCTCGAGCGACCTGGGCCAGTGGGCCTGTAGGCCAGGTGCGCAGGTCATCGATCGGCTCTGGTGCTCAGCGATCGATAGATCGAATCGATCAGCCGATGTAAAAGAAACAGGATCGCTATTCCCTACACGCCGTCTCCGTCTCCTGGTCTCCCTCTGCTCCCTTCTCGATCGATCTGGTGCTCGCGGCTCGCCGAAACGTCTTCAAATTGAAATCTGGAGTCTGTAGACGTGATCGTGCTATCGCAGCTTCGGTAAGAAAAGATTATCTCGTCGCCTTCGTCGTTCGCATCATCACTGATCACTTCATCTGTTCATCAGATCGATCCCGCGATCTGATTCAGGCTGCCGTCGAGACTCGTCGGATCGATCCCAGTTCATCCGTGCAGGACCCATAAACTAGGTGAGTTAGACAGTTCGTCTAAGTGACAAACGTTGACGCGTGATCTCCAATTGATATACGCTACTGTATAACTTCAATTTCATTGTATTTATTTTTTTAATCTTGTGTTTCAATAATATAGATTTAAGTCATCATGGGGAAAGATCAGTCTGGTGCCTAGCTATAAGCACAAAAAAAAAAGAGCAGAAGAACAAAATTTAATTAATAAATCTTATAAAGGAGGCATGGACAAATTTGTTAGAAAAGAAGCACCGCAAGTTTTTCTAAATTGAAACTATTGAAATCCTATATGCGTATTACTATGACACAACAAAGACTCAATGATTTGGCCACAATAGCACTTGAGAGTGAAGTCTTGGAGAAGATTGATTATGAGGATATCATTGAAGATTTCATTTCAAAGAATACTGCAACAATGAGGATGTTCAAATAAATAGCAATCGGGAGTTGCATAGGTATGACTTTTTTATATGTCCAATTTTTATGTAAGACATTATATTATGGATGCGAATTTTCAGGACATGCGGCCATGCGATGCCGTAATCGTGAGCGTCCGTGAGCGCTTTGTGATTGCTACCTAATATAGCCCCACGCGCAATACTGCACATCGTAATTGCTTACTTAAATGGGATACGCCCCGTATACCCCTTTGTGAGTCAGTGAGTGGTCCACAACGAATTTATGTTTGTAGGAGAATACAGCCTTGTCTGTTACCCGCAATTCGTTGGGGGGTGGCATAAGTGCTCTTGACGTTGGGTCATAAATGCTTTCCCTGGTTCTTTAGTACTGTACATCTTCGAGCCTCGTCCAAGTTGAAGCTCAGGAGGGGAAAGAGGGCATGGCTTGTGTAGAAACAGAGAAATTCAGGTTAGCCGTCGAATCTTTGCTTCTGTCTGTTGATTCCTCCGTGTTTTTAGAAAAGGAGGATTATCGCATCAGAGTGATGTCGACCTCTAATCAGCTCCCCCCCATCTCCACCGCTCTCCATAGCATGTCGACGAATTTGGGGTCAAGTAGCGGATTTGTGTGCTTGGGAGGGGCGTGGGGGATGGCTGTTTATCCCGATTCTGCTGTTTTTGAGAACGAGTCGGGGAGGTTAGGCATGCTACGAGAGGTTACCGAGGACGACCCGAGTGGAAGATTTGCAGATTTATTGGATTCTGTTGAACTTAGCCCAGAATCGGACCTTGTGGACCTAGACGACAAAAGAACTCCTAGGCTGGAGAACAAATATGCGGCCCTTGATGACAAGGTTGGTTGGGTTACAAGGTAGTAATAGTATGTTCGATGGATCACACAAACACTCCATTTTCTTTCTGGTTTCATGAACAGGAGGATGGCATCTGATTGGCCGTGTGGTGCGATGGAGGTGGTGTTGAACTACTGTGGGACATGGACGAACACATGCTTGGGAAGCCAGGCAAAGCTGGGAGAGATGGAGAAGGGAAAGAACTTAGAATGGCCAGGTGAAGCAGGGAGGCATAAAAACACCGAGAGGAGCATCATGCAGCTAGCCGTTGTGACTTAAGTGTGATCAATGCGCGTCTCGTCCCCACTTGGTGCAGCTTGCCGTTGGCACTGCCATGCAATCAATTCCTATCGACGCGCCAGCCGTTTCAATGCATGAGGCTGCCGTGTGGGCCACTTGCTGCAGGCGCAGAGGCAAATACGAGTGCCATACCAGCTGGTGTACGCTGACCAGGGGAGATTTTACGGGTACGATGTATTGAAGTCGCACGAATCACGTGGGGAGGAGGGGTGCTGATAACGACCTCGCATGGCCGCATGTGCACACACGATTTATCGATTATATTATATACATTATAATTTTTCCTGCAAGACATATATACATTATAATTGCTCGTTAGTTCTTTTTTTGTGAGATAGGGCCCCATTTTTTCATTCCGCACAGGGCCCCGGATTTTGCCGGCCCGGCCCTGGTTTGGACTATCCACCATGTAATCTCCAACGTGCGGCCCCAACACAAATCTCACCCCATGACGCACCCTTCCCTTTTTCTACAGGACCCTCCCCTTCCCGTTCGGTTGCCCGGCGTAGTGGGACATTTCTCGCTGGAGCCCTCTTCTTTAAAACCAGGTGATGCCCACCGCCCCTTTGCCATGGCACAGTCTCTCCTTCACACCACACTTCCCCACTGACCGCTAAGGAGGCGCCCTTGCGAACCGCCCCGCTCTCTGCC